CTCATTGCCTTAAGATGTTTAATAATGTATGAGAAGTTTTCATCATTTTGCTTTATGCTCCATCACATTCACAATTGTGTTTGCAAGAAAGGTAAATACTCATGTATAAATATTCTATTTCAAACTCATATATTTGTGGGATATATAAATACCCTATTCTTCCTTCCTTGCCCATTCAGTCTCTGTCTCGACCCATGTATCTACAGAGATACATGTTGTTCCAAGGTTGTGCGAATACCACTATTTACCTCTATCCCCTTTAGCCCATTCATGTCTCCCTGTGTCTTCTCCTGTCTCCTTCATTCATCCTCCACTCTCTCACTTGTTGTATAATGCCCTCCCTATCACTGGAGTTAACATGTGTCTATCTCTAGCCAGCGAATTCCTCTCTGTTCCCTTAGGATTTTTGTTGCTCTACAATAGATAGGAAGCTCTCTCAGACCCCCATACACTGTCCCCTTACCTCATCCCTTATCCTCCAGCCTTCAGTCCGTATGTCCTTTATTCAGAGAAATTGTCATAGCTGGCCAGAACAGGTCCCCTTGTTATGTGTTCTCGTAGTACTTCCTACTTTTTTACTGGTTGCCTTTCCCAAACAGAATATAAATTCCCTGAGGTAGGGAACTTATCTTGTTCACGGCTCTGTACTCAGAGTGTAAACATGCATCAAATGATTAAATCAAACTTACCATACATCTGTATCACTATTGGATTCATGTCTGTCTCGCTGACTAGACTATAAGCCCCACTAGGGCAGGAACTGTATTTCTTTGCTCACCATTGTATTCCAGAGCCTCACAAATGTTCATTGAATAACTTTTTTATCACAACCATATAAGAAATGCAGAGGAAAAATCATATCAAAAAGGCAATAGTGATTGTGTTAAAACTGTGAAAAATAGAATTTCTTTGTATCTCAAAACAGTTATTTTAAAATGCTAATATAAATTAAAATTCACAGTTAAACAAAAAGAAAAATAATTCTACTTATTGAATAGATACACAATTACCATAATTATTCTACTCTAAGAAATCAGATGTTTTCAATTTTCCCTAGAGTAAACTAGAGTGCATCATTTTTATATCGCTAAAATCTGTTCCCACAAAAAATTACAGCCTCAGAAACCCTACTCAAGGTCATTATGAATCAGAACCAACTCGACAGCACTTAACAAAAACATAATCATATATAAATTGTTGAATTTTGCTTTTCCTATTTTGTATATGACATATGTATTTTCCCAGGATTCTTTGTTGCCTGCATAATAATATTCAGTGACTGCATAATGTTCAGTTAAATCAGCATATTTGGGGGCAGGGGTATATTGTTGTAGATTTAGGAAATAGATTTCAAAGTAAAGGAGCTCTGGTAGCGTAGTAGTTACGAATCGGGCTATGAACCACAAGGTCAGCAGTTCGAAACTACCAGCTGTTCCGCAGGAGAAAGATGAGGCAGTCTGTTCCCATAAAGATTTACAGCCTCGGAAACCCTGTGCAGGGTTGCTATGAGTCGGAACTGACTCCACGGCACATAACAACAACAACAACAACAACACAAAGATTCATGGGGAATACAAATTTCTGACTGCACTGGCAAGAAGTTGGAAAAGAAACAGGCAATGGTGGATATGTGTGCGAATATGGAGTGAGCACCTGAGATGGGATTAAGTGAACTGTGATCATTCTAAGGCAGAGTCAGTGTTACAGTGAGCCTCCAGCCCAAACCCGTTGCCAACATTCCAACTCATAAGCAGTCCTCTAAGACAGAGTTGTTGTTGTTATTGTTAAGTGCCATCATGTCAGTTCTGACCCATAGCGACCCTGTATAGGGTTTCTGAGGAGCTGCTGGTAAGCTTGAGCCACCAACCTTGAGGTTCAAATCAACTTTGCAGTCCAGTACATTAACCCATAGCACCACAGATCTAAAAGCTTTCCGCTTTACAGAAGCAGACTGCCATGCCACATCTTTCTCACTTGGAGCGCCTGGTGGGTTCAGACCATTGACTTTTTGTTTCTTGGACAAGTGTTTATCCACTGTGCCACCAAGGCACCTTTCAGCATCTAGAAAAGAAAGGAAAGCTATGTTGATTTAGAGAGTTCCTAAGCTTGACTGTCTACTGAAATGTGATTGGATATGGATGGGATGTTGGAGAACCAACAATTGGAAGGATTCAGAGGAAATGGAGATAAGGTGCAAATGTGTGATGTGAATAAATCAGGTATCAATAAGTTGGAGGCTGCCAATATTTGTTAGAATATTGTGGTCTCTTAGCCATGGAGATAGGCGTGACCATCTGTCAGAGCGGTGGCAGTGGCAAAATGCCACACTTTGGAAACCCTACCTATACAGGGTCACTTATGAGTCGGAACAGATGGCACTTAACAACAGCAATGGTGGCACAGTGGTTAAGCACTTAGCTGCTAACCAAAAGGCTGTCATTTAGAACCCACCAGTAGCTGCACTAGAGAAGATGTGTCAATCTGCTTCCATAAAGATTTTCAGCCTTAGAAAATCTATGGGGCAGTTCTACTCGTTCTATGAGTTCAAATAGACTAGATAGCAGTGGATTTGGATTTTGATTTGATACAAATTCTGTAGGTTAAACATAATGATTGCTGCCTAATGCTTTTCAAAATGCAAGTCTGGGCACGGTGGCCTCTGGCTTCCTGCTCAATTATTTTATGAAATGGCGGTATCATAGCCTCAAGCAGGAGGCTGAATCCTGTCTATCTCAGCTCATTGCCTTTAACCCCAAATTTGCCACTTTGCAGAGTTCTTCATGATCACCTAATACACTTGTCCTTCACAACAGACCCTGAATAAAGGGCAACAGCTGCTGAGAGACATGAAACACTTCCTCAAACAGTAGAATTTCCCAAGCTTGGAACACAACAACAAGGCTAACTTATCCACCAGTGCTAGGCAAAAGTGACCAATGTGTAAGACTTCATCATGTTCCTCAAACTCCCTTTTCTGATCGTGTCACCTCTGACCAGGGACATTGCCCTTTAGATTAGTAGCTCTCATTTCCAAACAGCCCTGGGGTCCTCCTGAAACAGAAAAACGAGATGCTTTATTTAAGAAAAGAAACAAAATCAAATCACAACAGGTAATTAAAGGACTTAGAGCAGAATTTTCATTTAAGAAAGAACTTAACCTGGAAAGAGCAAGGAGGAAGAGATAATGATAGAGTTTCAGGCTTGGTATTTTGATGGTGGGAGTCCTGGTGTAGCACTGTAGGATAAGGACTGGACTGCTAACCGTAGAGTTGGAGGTTCAAACCCACCAGCCACTCCTTGGAAACCTTGTACAGGGCCTCTGCGAGTCAGATGACACTTAACAACAACAACATAGATGTAGATATTTGTTGTTATTGTTAGGTACCATTGAGCCGGTTCTGACTCATAGCGACCCTATGTACAACAGAAGGAAACAGTGCCTGGTCCTGGGCCATCCTTATAATTGTTACATTTGAATCCATTGCTGATGTCACTGTGTCATTGGGAATCTTCCTCTTTTTCACAAACCCTCCATTTTACCAAGCATGATGTCCTTCTCCAGGCACTGGTCCCTCACTTATCCAAAGTACGAGGGACTATGTCTTGCCATCCTGGCTTCTAAGAAGCATTCTGGCTGCATTCTTCCAATACAGGCCTACTTGTTCTTCTGACATAAGTGCCATCGAGTCGGGATCCGACTCATAGCGACCCTTAAAAGGTTTCCAAGAAGCAGCTGGTGAGTTGGAACTGCTGGCCTTAACGACCCAAGCCAATGTTGCAGTTGACCGCATTAACCCGGCAGCACCACACCAGAAGTCTCTCTTTCTTTCTCTCTCTCTCTCTCTCTCTCTATATATATATATATATATATATATATATATTGGCACCGCAGGTTAGTGTGCTGTATTGCAAAGTTGGTTTGATCTGCAACGTCAGCAGTTCAAGCTCACCAGCTGCCTTGGAAACCCTATACAGGGTCACTATGAGTCAGAACGGAAACAATGGCACTTTACAATATATATAAAATGTCAAGTACCGTCAAGTCAGTTCCGACTCATAGTGACCCATTTTTATAGGGTTTTCAAGGAGTGGCTGGTGGATTTGAACTGCCAACCTTGCAGTTAGCATTCCATTATCCTACACCAGGACTCCATAATAATTTTTTGGACATTTTATTGTGATTTGGGTGAACTTTTACAGAGAAAGTTATTTCCCCATTCATAATTTACGCACACTTTGTTTTGTGATATTCGTTGCCTTCTCCTTGGTGTTACAACACTCTTACCACTCACTTCCTTTGTGGATTGCTCCCTTTCTATTCATCCATCTGTCTTGCCCCTTCCTGCTTTCTGAAGGAAAATGCTGCACTTTGGGTCTTGTTTGGTTGATTGTTTACATCCCTCACCAGTATTATTCACTTCATAGGCCTATAGTTTGGCTGAAAGATGATCTCCGGGAGTGGGTTCAGTTCCAGATTTGAAGGATGTCTAAGGGCCATAGTCTCAGGAATTCTACCAGCTTCTATCAGACCAGTAAACTGTCTAGTCTTTTTTATCACATTGAATGATGTTCTACATTTTTCTCCCACGTTACCCAGGACCTTCTATTGAGATCCTGATTAGAGTGGTAGATAGTGGTGGCTGGGATTCATGTGGTCCATTAGTCCTTTGGACTAATTGTTTCTCTGAGTCTTTTATTTTCTTCACTCTTCTTGGCTCTGGACAGGAAGAGACAAATAGTTGCATCTCAGATGGTGACTCAAATGCATTTAAGACCCCAGTTGTTAATTTCTATATAACATGTATACAGAAAAAATGTAGACGCAATGGTGAAAGGCAATTCTTACCAGATCCATGTTTTTTATCCCTAGTCTTAAAATTTGTATCATTTCAACAACACCAAGTAAAATTTAGCTCATCACATGAACTTACACTAGATGTGAATGAGGGTCAAAATTCCAAGAATTTAAAAAGTGAATTGATGTTTCTGTTTAATTTCAGCAAACTCCAGAAAACAAAGAGAGATATCAGATGGCTTCAAGGAGTAACTGGTGAATGGTTTGAAGAAATTCAAAGAAAAAGGTTTTGCGATGAAACAGATATTAGTCAAATGCTAAAACAACCACTTACCTACAGGCTAACGCAGAGGATGGCAAAAAATGGTGAGAAAAATATTTTACTATAATATTGTCTTAAGATATGTTTTTAGAATCAGTAAAAATGGTATAGTGGTTAGAAGCATAGACACGCTGATGTAAAATAAGGCCTGTATTCAAATCTGCACCCTGTCTCTACTCATGTTAGATTGTTCAAGCTACATAGTTAGTCTCTATGTTGCTCAATTGTCTCATCCTTAAATGTGTGTGATAATATTTAACTCATAGGTTGTGAGAATTGCATGGCATGTATAAAACACAAAGTTGGACACAGTAAGCAGTTAAATAAATAGGATACTGATGAAGAAGAAGGCTGGGGGGAAGGAGGGAATGTAGAGGAAGAGAAGGAAAAAGGAATGTCATTCAACTTCACCAATCACTTTTTAGTCCCATCTCAAAATTAGAATCATAAAATCTGCTATTGTAAGACTAATGAAGTGCATTAGAGATTATAGAATGCTAAAGCAATGTATTATCATGTAAAAAGCCCTCGCAACATTATGAAATAAACGTTTGGACTGCTAACTGAAAGATCAGTAGATCAAACCCACCAGCCACTTGCAGGAGAATGATGAAACTGACTATCCTCATAAAGATCTGCAGACTCAAAAACCCTATAGAGGGTCACTGGGAGTCCGAATCAACATCAACTCGGTGGCACTGGGTTTGGGGGACTGTATAACAATATAAAGGAGCCATGGT